TTGGATCCACCCTAGGTTAAAAAGCAATTACATTATCACTAATCGCCATTGAAATTCAAATCTGATGTAACAAATGACGCAAGACGTGCTGCCATCTGATCGCGGATCTAGGAAACCGCTGCTAATGTGAGAAACCTACTAGGTGAGATTGAAAGCTGGCAAAGGAAACTGCAGCACATTAGGCACTGTGAGCAGGTAAAGAAATCTGTTGAAAATCGTATATGCTACTTATTGATGCGTATTAGCCATAAATGTGTTGGGTGTTGGGTGCATTGGGTTGCAAGTTGCAAAACAAGCAGAGAATATTCGTGCAATCGGTTCAATCTGTCAAATCTGAAATCAGTGACACAGCGTGCTTGTAATGTATTGGTGTTTTAATAAGTCTTGGTAAATCGGGTAGCAAAGGAAGCCGGAAGGAATTGTGGGACAGTTCGGTGATCATGGCACGCAATCAAGATGAGGCCAAACAAGTCGTGCGAGTGGACCAGGACTCTGAGACTGATTTACAAGCTTTATTTGACAGTGTATTGAAACCGGACTCAAAACGACCTTTACAAGTGCCATGGAGCATGAGAAAATTGCCTGATTCGTTCTTTACACCACCCTCAACGGGCTCAAAATCCATAAATCATTCTCGCGAAAATTCGGTGGATTCTGCATTTGATGTTTCTGGTCCCGTGAATTCTGTGCCTTTACAGACGGCCCATCACAGAGCTCACAGTTCTCCGGCTTCTTTGCAACAGACCTATGCGGTAGGTCAACAACAGCCCCCAGCTCATCATCATATCAAACAAAGGTCTTACGATGTCGCCAGCAAATCTGAAGACAACACCCCCCTTCCCCCTGGCTGGGAACAGGCCCGCACCCCTGAGGGCCAAGTCTATTATTTAGAGTGAGTACCTGTAGCTGTACCTGTTGATGACAGGTTTTCCTGGGTCAGATTGTTATGCCACAGGACCGGACTGGGTGATTGTGTCAAATGCCATTCTTTTTATCCACGATATTTGGCTCTCTGCTATTCATGTGCCTTTATTTTTGTATTGACTATATTTAACATATATTTAAATTTTACTTTAGGCCTAAGCAAAATCTTGTAAGTTATGGAAATATAAGTTATTTATTTTGATTTTTTCTTATTCTTTTTACCACAATCATCCAACCATGTCCTTGGCATATGCATTCGAATGGGCGCTGTATGTTTTTCATTTATTATCCATGGCGAGTTCGATTTTGCCTTTACCAGTTGGTGATGCCAATTATTTTAAAAATTCTACACATTCCAATGACACGAATATTTCATTTAATTATGAACATTCGTTGACAATTCCTGTGTTCCCATTTCTTCTTACATTTAAAGACTACATTTCGTGTTTGTTAAAATCAGTAGTTGTTATTTTTTTACGGGACAGAAAGACAGCGTCCATAGCTTTTTTCGCAAAAAAATATTAACTACATACGGGGTGTACTGGGAAATGTAAGCATGCATTCAGGGTGGCCAAGCAATAGAGGGATTGCCCATGACATAAATCCTATCAGAAAACCACATATACCATCACGTGCCGGGCAGTCCGTACTTTATTATTGTTAAATTTAATGTCATTTGTTAATTTTTTATAAACAATTTTCAACAAATTTTTTTCGCATTTTTTTTTGTTTTTTACTTGTAAAATCGACGCCATTGAAGCAATCTTAGTGCCGTAAATAATTAAATTGTAGAGCATAGAATTACGAAGAGAATGAGATGTCGATCTACTTGATTGGATAATTAGAACCGGAGAAAAAAAAACTACGTTTTCTTAAAAAACTCAAAACCTGGCTAATTTTGTGAATTAAGAGCTCAAATTTTGCATAAAGGTAGTTATTTATATATACTTCATGTGTCCAAATGCTGTACTGGGTTGGATTAATAGTTTTAGGACAATTTCGTTTTCAATTTTTTTAGCGTTTTTTTTCGCCGTTGACTGCTTGCGCCTGAGATTGTCCGATTGGAATTTAAAATATTTATTTATCCATTTTTTTTAATAAATGCCGTTAAATGAGTGAAACAGAGCCTTGAATATGAGTGAAAACGGCCGAGCGCACCAAAGCGGTCGAGTGGCGGTGGTCGCTGCTGGTTGAGGGGAACAGTATAGTTACTGCCGCTATTTCACTATTTTTTTTTGATTCTGGGGTACATGAACATAAGGAAATGGTTTTTTGACTCAGATTTCACAATAAAAAAAAATTGGATAAATTAAGTACAGTTGAGTCCGGATATAACGAACTTGAAAAATGAACTAAATCTGGTTCGTTATATCCGGAGTTCGCTATAGGCGAATAATAATACAAAAACACGTGATGTATTTTATTTCGTTATTTTTACATAGAGTAGTAGAAGTAAGTAGGTATGACTAAAAAGAACACAAAAAGATAAACTAAATTCAGTTTGAAATCTACTTCATAAAGTCTGTAATTTATGTTTGTACATTTTTGCTGCAAAAATAGATGTTATTTATGTAGTTTTCAAGATCACAAATCACAAAAGGACTCCCAGATATGATTAGGAACTTGGCGTGATTGTAGAAAATTCCCAGTTTCTGACACTTTTTTTGTCATTTCAGAAATGGTTGGAAAAGCATTAGTTTCACGTTTCACCTAAATCGTCATCTTTCTCATTATCGCTCAAAGCTGTAGATGAGGTTACGGAGTCTATAATTTGCCCATTTCACTAGCATTTTCTTGCAACAACGTTTTCTTGTCTTTTTTGAGTAAACCTCTTAATAAGTCCCTTGTCAACCTTTTCATGTGCAGATAATTTTAACTTCCTACATCTAACATTTGTTTTGTCATACGC